GATCCCCACACAGGGGATAAACTGAAGCTGCTGCCCAGGTTCTGGGGTTGGGTGCTGATAGAGTCAAAAACTTTGTGGGGAGCCTGTTCCCAGGGAAGGGACTTTGCTCACTGAGATGTGTGTGTTGGGTCTCCATGGGTGTGTTAAAGGGGCTGCCTCTTCCCATGGCCCTGTAGGTAAGCATCCCCCAGTGCATGTCTGTGTGTGAGAATCCTTCTGCACCCCTGGCTGTCCCTGTGATTCTGACAGAATATTGTGTTCATCGTGAGGCTGAGGGAGGAAAAGAGAGGGAGGGAGGAGGAGAAATAGCGAGAGAGCAGGAGCAGGGAGAGTGACAATGCACGGGTCAGGGTAACTGGAGGAGGAACCACAGACATAACAAAGGGGGATAGAGAGAGGCTGGAAATAGCCCAGGATCAATACTTGACTGGCAGCCAGCGCCTCCAGGAGCCAGAGAAACCCTCAAAACAGTTCCCCAGGATAGCCCCCTGCCCGTGATTCCCAGGCTTGTGGGCTGCCCCTTGTCTTTCCCCTTCCCTCCTGCCCGTCCCAACCTCTTGGGAATGAGGCAGACCTAGGGGCTAAGTACCAGTTTCCCCAGGGAAGCCCTAGGTGATGGGTGAGGGGACATTTAGGCAGCCCACCTCTGCCCCCTAGCCCCCCACCTCATATGAGCCCCAGTCCTAGTGTGGGCAGGAGGCTTCCCCACTTCCTGAGTTGCTCTTCCCCTCTTGCTGTTTGCGTTCGAGCTCCTTCAACCCCTAGTTCTGACCTCCCCACCAAAGCTTCAGCTCCCACCCCCATGGTTGCAGCCAGCACCTGCCAGCTCAGCCCTCACCTGGTGTGGGTGTCCCTGGTGGGGAGGCCTGGTGGCTGCTGGCGGGGCAGAGTGCTGTGGTTTCTGTGTCCGTGTCCATGTCGGTGTCGAGGTCCGTGTGCATCAGTGTGCGTGTGCGTGTGCAGCCTGGCGGCTTGCAGCACCCACTCCCTCACTCAGCAGCACTGTCAGCTTTTCCCTTTAAATACCACCCCCCCATGCCCTCCCCCTAGACACCTGGGGAAACAGTCCCACCCCCTGATGAGGTCACATATGCTAATGAGCCGTGATGTCAGCGGGATTCCCTCCTTTCTGCTCCCCCCCCCCCCGTCACCCAGGACGAACCTCGAGGATGTTTCCTAAGCTCGGGTTCATTCCCATCCCCCCAGGGATGATCCCGGCCTTGACCATCCCACGGGGCTGAACGCCCCCCCCCCCCCCCCGCACCCCCTTTGCATCGCTTCCCTCTGGGAGCACACACACTGCTGCGTAGTCTGGTTAAGACATGAACAGAACAAAGTCAGAGGGGCAGAAGAGACGGGTTCAGAGAAGTGGGGTGAGGGGTCAGTGGGCAAGGGAGCTGAGGATGGGAGGAGGCTAGGACCCAGGGCCTGGGTGGTCTTTCTCCAGGAGCCAGGACTATGTGTGATTTGTCTCTGTATCCCAGCCCCTTAGCCCAGTGTTCAGCCCAGAGTGGGAGCTCAGTAGCTAAATGGAGGGGCTAAAGGAAGAAACCAAAAAAGACGCAGGGACAGGAGGACAGCCACCCCGCCACCAAGCTTCTCTTCCACCCCCTCTTCCCCATATTACCCCTTCTGGGCTAAGGCCCACAGCAGTACCCATTTCCCAGCCTGGCCCCTAGGCAGATGGGGACTTTGAGGAAGGAGACATGGCTGCTTTGTTTGGCAGCTTCATTTTTTCACTAGGTTCAGGTGGGTACAAACCATTGTGGGGACTTCTTACCCATCTCTCCCTCCCTGCCTGGCCCACCAACCTTGTGTTAATCAGAGCAGGAAAAAGGGGAGAGACAGCTAGCCCTCTAGAAGTTCCCAATCCCCAGTGCAGGTGCCAGCCCCCCTCTCAGTGCTCTCTGGGGCAGCCCCAGGCCTTCTGGGCTACACAGGGCAGACACACGACGACCCCTACCTCTGGGGCAGCGGGGAAGCCAGGATAGCGGGGCTCCTTTACTGCTCCTTTTCTGCCCGGTCCCTTTCCCTTCAGGCTCCCATTCTTGTCTTCCTGATGCCCCCAAGGACCCAAACACACATTCCGATTTCCTGGCCCCTTCTCACCCCATTTTTGCCAGATGCTGTGCTAAGCACCTTCCTGCATTCTCTCCTTTCATCCTCATGACCCTGAGGCTCAGAGTGGTGGGTGAGTGGCCTGTGCCCCAAATCAATCATGCAGCTGGAAAATGGGGACACCAGGATTCCCACCCAGATCTTTCCAATGCCAAAGACTGTTTTCCGTCTCTATGCTATGCTGCCTTCCTTGTCTTAAATATTCCAACTGTCTCCTATTATTGGGGGCAATCTATATTGCGATCTTCAGTGGACTTTTCCAATTGAAGAAGCAAATAGTGATCTAGGGATTACTAGTGCAGTGACGCTTCACTTATGGGGAGGTCAACTACAGGGTAACATTGTGGGGTCTAGAGGGAGCAGAAAGAACTCTTAAGCAGCTACAGTCCTCATGTGCTTCACTCACTGGACAGACTCTACAGTCCTCAGTCACAGCCTACTTGTTCTTACTTTATTCACAATTTTAATGTGTCCATGTGTGTTCCTGTGCTCAAAGATTAGAAGCACATTTATAGCAGCTAGTGACCCCTGATAGCTTGGTAGCAAGGGAAGCAATGTCATAGAAAACTTTTACAGCAGTCATAAGCATTTAAAAAGTGGTCCAAGGTCATCTGGCATTAAGGCAAATAGCTTTTCTGACGCTGTTACGGCTTCTGAAAACATTGCTGCTGAGGTTTTTGGTGTCTATGAATGATCCTCAGCTATCCAGAAGGATTTATAGTGCAGATGGGCTGAAGACGAGTGTAATGTTTTAGAGTGATTTCCTTCCAGAATGAGTTTTTTAAAAGTTTTAAATTGTAAAGGGGTGAGCTTTATGTTTCTGGAAAACTCATTTAGGTGGTAGAATTCATTTCTATGATACTAGGTAAGAGTGTCAGGGGCTGGAGACCCCAGCGAGGATTCTTGACCATGACTTCTGCCTGCCCTCAATCCAGCCTTAGGCCAGACACATGCTGGGTTTCATCTTGAACCACCATCTCTCTTGTCCCACTGGTAAGAGGCTGTGCACTTGCTCAGGTCAAGGCTCCCTCAGGAATTGGAGGTCCTGTGTAATAGTGGGACAGACTGAGATTTGGAACCAAGCTGATCCAGATTTAAGTCTGCCTCTCAGTAGAGACTGGAGCAGTATTCCTCTGAAGCTGCTCATGAGCCTGTCAATTGGGGCTGTGATGCCCACGGCACAGCCTTGTTGTGAGGGTTAGTTACGTGTGATAAAGGGTTTGGCACTCAGCAGGTTGCCCAACAATTCGGTGCTCCCACAGTCTCAGGCTGTGTGGCTGGGGGTCCCTTTCCCCTCCCAGCATGGCCTGGAGCTTGGTTCAGGCCCAGATTCTGCTCCTTAAGGACCAAATTCTGGTATCTGCTCAGATTTATCTCAGATTTTCAGCCTGATCCCCATCTCATAACTGAGATCACCTCCCTCCTCCCCACCAAGGGCCTTTGCATGAGTCCCACACCCCTGATACTGGGCAGCTTGGACAGTGGTGTCTATCCTGATAGGATCTGAAGTCGTCTCGTTTATTTTTCCTTGGGCTGTGGTGAAAATAACTTGGGTGACAGCCCCCTAGTGCCTCACTGTTTTCACTGGGCCTGACGCTGGTGGGACCCAGTGATTGTTTACACTGGGGAAGGCAGGCCCGGAGGGAGAACAACAAGCAAGGATGAGAATCTCTGGAGCCCCTTCCCCAACCTCTGGAGAGGGCGTGGAGTGAAAGGTGCTTGAGTCTTCCCCAAGCCAAGATGCCAGTGTCCCAGGACTGTACCATATCCCCTCAGCCACCTCCCTAGGCTCCTGCTCGCTGGGAGAAGGAACGGTATGCAATTAGTGCTGGGTGTGAGGATGCTGGCAGTGTGTCATCAACAGGGCCCCTCCACCAGGAAGGTGGGGATAGGCCAGGCCAGGCCAGGCAGGAAGGGTAAGGGAGCCTAAGGGGGAGCCCTTTCTCCGGGGACTGATTGTTAGGGAATGCCTCAGCTCTGCTCCTGTGGGCATCACACCCACTCCCATAGGCTCTTTCTAAATCCTTTGTCCTGGCTGATTTTCCTTTTAAACTCTGGGACAGCTCTGTCAGCTTGCTTACCACAGGCTGGGTCCCAACATTTCTCACAGATCATTCCCCCCTCCTCCGTTACCCTCTCCAGCTCTTTGGCTCTGGCTATTGCTTGTGCTCCTGCGCCCCTTTCTCAGGAAGTCCAGGGTCCCTCTTACAGCCCTAGCCCTTACTGTCCCCTTAGTTTGCTTATCGTATGGACTCTCACCCCGCCTAAAATTCACAATTCTATACCAACTACTGACAGCATTCTTTAGGATCTAGTTTGGGCCCTCTTCCAGGAAGACCTCTTGGATCTGGCCAAGGTGATGCTAGCATCTTCACACCCTGAATGATTATGATTTTTCTCTGGACGCATCTTTGCCCGCTTTGAGGCATCCTGGCTGCGAGTTCATCTGTCTTGCCTAGGACAGACTGAAAATGCCTGGTAGGGTGGAGGATGGAGGGCAGGAGTGTTTCACCAGGGACAGTCTGCTTCTGTGATTAGTGCTCTGCGAGTACTCCATAAATGGGAAGTTTCTCAGCTGCAAGGCCCAGCGGGCTCACGACTTCCGGCCTGGCGGTGAGTAAGGAGGCTTGGTGCTCACTGCTGGTGTCAGTCACTGTAGAGCTGGGCCCCAGGCAGTGAGTGGAGGTGGAGAGGGTTAGTCTTTGGGTTCCTAGAATTTTCTTACCCTCTGAGTGGTATAAAAAATAAGGATGGGTGGTTGGAAGATAAATAGGAAAAGGCCAGGAGGTGGAGGGCAGAGCAAAGGGCTTCATAGGGAGGAGTAAGGTGAGGGGAGCATAAGCTGAGATGGGCAGAGAGGCGGGGCTCATGCTCACAGCTCATTTACAAAAATCTTAAATTTCTGATTCCTTTATTTTCAACCTTGGCTTCCTGGACAATGACCTGGCTATGGAACAAAAGCATTTGCTGTGCTCTTTTTATGAGCTAGGCCTTGTGGGAGGGATCACCATTGGCAAAACCCCAGGGCCTGCCCAAATCCTCCCCTTGGGGGCTGGAAGTCTCCAGCCAATTGGCATTCTGGTGCTTAAGGCCACTTTTGGGTGGGTTTGGCAAGGATGGAGTGTCCAGGCCTATGACCCTTTAAGAACTTTACTTTTTAAAAACAGCCACCCAAATGGTGGTGGTGTGGGGAGAGGGTAGTGGAGGACTGTGGTCTCTGGCCATGCGCAGAGAGGGGGCTCTGTGTGAGCCTTCTCCCTGCCTGAGGGACACCTAACTTTATAGCAGCTACATGGGATCCATGGGAGGCCCATCAAGTATCCTCACACTGAGGGACAGGGAGGGAAATAGTGGAAGGAAGCTGAGCTGCCCTCTAAAGGGTTGCTGTCACTGTGAATAGAGCACCCAGGGGAGCCAGGTCACCTCACGCCAGCAGTGGCTCATCTTCTGCTTCGACCACCCAGACCCCGGGCTCAGCCAGTGGCACCAGCAGCACATCGTCCTCATCCTCTGGGGACAGGACTGTTGTGTGGGGTCCAAGTGGGGCCCGGGTTGGTCCTGGGGGCCGCAGGCTGGGCAGGAGGCAGCCTCGCAGGGCCTGTACCACTCCAGACAGCAGTGATGGCTCCAGGGGCGCCGCAGGCAGTGGCCCTGGGGCCTCGGGGACAGTGGGGAAGGCTGGAGACGTGCTGGCAGGTGGCAGTGGAGCCTTTACAGGCAGCGGGGGTGCCTGTTCCCCATCCTGCCCACCCACCGCCCCGCCCTCACGGGCTGGACCTGTGCTGCCGTCTAAGGTCTCAGGGGGAGCAGCAGAAGGTGTGACCTGGGATCTGGTCTCAGAGGTCCGGGCTGGGGGACTGGTTCGGGGAAGAAGGCCCCAGCGGCGGAGACGGCGCACCAGGCGGCGCATAGAGCGGCCCCGCTGGCGGCGGCGGGTGCCTGAGGCAGCCCCTGGAGTCATGTCCTGGCGCAAGATCTGTAGCAGAGAACGCAGGTTGCCCAGCACGGAGTTCTGCAAGGAGAAGATGAAGACACCAGAGTCAGAGGGGGTGGGGACGGCCAGAAGCCTGAAAGAAGGAAAGGCTGGGAGTGGGAGGTGGTCTGGCTGCAGAGGGTGACTTACGTCATTTGGGTTCTCTGTAGGGAAGTCCTCTACAGGTGGGATGGCGCCCTGGGCAATGAGCTGCCCATAGGAGGGAGGCGCCTGCTGTTGCACAATCTCGGCCTCTGTCCGGGAGAGGGGGGCGAAGATGCTGGAAGGGACGAGGATGGCTCGGTCATGGGTGCTGCTCACCAGAGCCGCCTGCCCCAGCCTGGACAGGCCTCTTTCCTCTGCACCCAGGCCGGGGCACCCGGAGCTAGGCCATGGCTTTCCAAAGTCATCTGACATCCCCCTCCTTCCTTGAGATGGCTTTCAGGATCTAGACCTGTCCCCGACTCAGAGAAGCACGCCTGCCAAGCTAGACAACCCTAGGAGCCAACCCAGAAGCTGGTCACCAGAACCCGTCCCCAACATGGGCACCCTCTGGACTTCTGTGGCTGCACAGGCCCTGTCCCGCCCTCAGTCCCCACGCCTCAACTGCCAGCTGCATTCCCACTGACCTGTACTCCTGGGTACGAATGGCATAGAGCTTGCAGGTGCAGCCCAGGGCAATGACCAGCAGCAAGCCGCACACGAGGCTGCCAATGACCGCGGCGGTAATGACCTTGCGGGGCAGGGCGTAGGAGCAGTCCCACTCGTCGCTGCCGTCAGCGCAGTCTGGCTGCCCGTCGCACACCCATGTCTCATACACACACTTCTCGTCCCGGCACCGGAAGTTGCCAGGCTGGCAGTGCCGACAGCGTCTCTCGTCTGCTCCATCAGCACAGAAGGTCTGGTAGTTGCAGCGGTCAGCAGGCAGGTAGCAGGCTGTGGCACCGGGGGTGCCAGCGGCCCCACAGGGGTAGTGTCCAGGTGGGCAGCTGGGGCAGTTCTCCTCGTCCGTGCCGTCGGCGCAGTCCCATGAGCCGTCACAGCGCTGTGCCTCGCTGTAGCAGCGTTCACCTAGGCCCTCGCTAGCCCCCAAGCCAGAGCCTAAGCCGCAGGGTCGGTCCCAAGGCAAGCAGTAGCCCCGCACGTGGTAGGTGGCATTGAAGCCCCGACCGCTGCTCCAAGCGACTGTGTGGTAGTCCACTGTGGCCTGGCCGGACAGCGTCTCCACGGTGACAGCCTTGCCATTGCTGAAGTGGGTGAGGCTGCGCAGCAGCCGGAGGGTCTCGGGGGGCCCGGCGCCATCATACACGTGCACTGCATCTCCATAGCTCAGGTCCAGGGCCGTAAAGCGCACTGCCAGGCGCCGGCCATCATGGGGGTCCAACAGCCAGAGGCAGGACTGGGGGTGGGAGACTGAGGCCAGGTGTGAGTATCCGAGGGAGGAGAAGACCCCATAGAAGTCTTCCAAGGTGTGATTGCAGGGTCGGGTGGGGACAAGGGCCGGGGTCAGGTTGGGGAAGGGGTCTGAACTGCAACCTGCCTCATCAGAGCCATCGCCACAGGCATCGACCCCGTCACAGCGCTGGACCAAGGGCACACAGCGGTGGTTCAGGCACTGGAACTCTTCCTGCAGGCACATCAGCCAATCTGCAGAGGCACCATGGAGAGGGGCTGTGAAGCACTGGAGCTGCCAGGATCCTCCCCTCCTCCCTCAGGCTTCCACTGCCTGTTCTAGTGGCACTACAGACAGCCCTGTCCAGCCCACCTTGGCTGTAGGAGAGCAGGAAGCCCTGGCCCATGGGTGCTCTGGCCCCAGCATAGCTGTAGGTGATGGTGACGTTGCCTCCAGGCAGCTGCAGAGGACTGGCAGGTGCCTCGCACAGGGAGATCTGTGGCTGGACGGGGGAGCGCAGGATTAAGCGCTCTGAGCCACAGGCCAGACGCAGTTTTTGGAACCTACAGGGGTGAAGGAGAGCAGGACGTAAGATATTCTTGACCACTGCTGGCTTCTTCCTCCCCCAGTGTTGTCAGGCCCGTTCTGCTCCAAGAAGCACGAACACCTGCTTATCCACAATCCAAATAGCCAAATGAAAATGGAGTTAGCCAAATTCCTTTGTAATCAAGGCAACAGCCCTAACAGAGACCTATGGCACCCTGAGACCATGAGTACATCCTAGAGCCTTTTGGAAAAACTGCCTTGTGTTCTGGACTGAGTTAGAACAGATTCATTGCTTTCCTGTTGTTGCAGCACTGTCACCCGAGTCTGGTGCTAGCAATAACTGGCAATTACCATACAGCTTAATTAACCAGAACTCACCATCCCCTCCCAGTGCCCAGTAGTGAGACCTGAGATCACCATGGCATTCTGATCCCTCTGCCCCAACAACCTCTCCCCAGATTGCCCTCTCCCTTCACCTACCCTTTTCTGGGTAAATTCATGGGAAGTGAGCTGTGGGAAGCAAATAGCCAGGTACTCGACATGGGCCCCAACCCCACGGCCCACGGTTGGAGGAGCCCGGGGAGATCTGGACTGTTTAAAAGATCTGGGGAGGGACTTCGCTGGTGGTCCAGTGAGTAAGACTCTGCGCTCCCAATGCAGGGGGCGTGGGTTCAATCCCTGGTCGGGGAATTAGATCCTGTATTCCGCAACAAAGAAGCCCGTGTGCCACAACTAAGAGTCTGTGTGCCACAACTAAAGATCCCTCATGCCCCAACGAAGATCCCACGTGCCGCAACTAAGACCCAGTGTAGCCAAAATAAAATAAATTTTTTTTAAAAAAAAGATCTGGGGAGGCTGAGGAAGGTTCTAAGCTGATGAAGGAATAGCTTTGAATCCCAGGCAAGGATGTGCAATGGATTGAAGGACTCCTCCAAGCAGCCATATCAGAGAGAAAGGACTGCTTCTAGAGGAAAGGACTGTTTCTGTTGTCCTTCAGAGATGACAAGACCCAAGCTAGATGTCCACTCCAGGCAGTTCCAATTCACCATGGAACAAGCCAGACTTTTAGGGAAGACTAGGCCAAATCTAATTCTACTCTTCCCCCTGTTGACAGGGATGGAAGTTCCACGGAGAAGATCCCTGAAGTCTTTTCCATGGTAGAGGAGGAGGGGTGGGGGAAAGGAATAGGGTCTTGCTCTGCTTCTCACCTGACCGTTACCGTCTGCTCCTTGCTGCCCAGGATGAGCCAGGTACAGTTGGCAGGGGAGCTGCGGCTGTCCCGGCCCACGGGCCTCTGTAAGGTGCCCTGCACTTCCAAGAGCACTGCCGGGGGGTCCTCACAGGCTGGAGAGAGAGAGGAAGGTAGGGACATCGGTTGAGAGCGTCTTACCATGCCACGCCTCCTCCAAGGGCCTGGGTTCTTCAAGAAGGAGCACAGAAACTCCCCTGCCCCAGCGACACACACTGTAGAGGCATAGTCTTCAGCAGGCCCCTGTCTCTCCACACTCATCATAGTTCCACCTTAAGTATCAACACCACAAACAATATGAGGTCTGCTTTGTGCCAGCCACTGGGCCAGGAGGAACCGGAAATACTGTTTCTATCCTCAGGAAGACTACATTTTGGCTAGGCCGATCAAGTATGGATATTTGGGGAAAAAGTACATAACTACCGGCTGAGGGCTTATGCTAGGTCTCAGTTTCCCCATCTGTAAAATAAAGGGTGGATGACCTCCACTCTAAAACTGTGGTAGGTACTAGAGGAATTCAAGGAAGAGAGTCTTTCTCTTGGGTCCTCCCTCATTACCAAGCCCATGGGACCCCAGGAGCATCCTCTACTCACCAGGATTTGGGAAAATGATCCTGTCTGGGTGGGCCACAGCGTCTCCTAGAGGAAGAGCGAGAAAGGGCAAGAGTCACGCTTCGGAGTTTTCTTCACCTGAGCGAGCCAAGTAGGAAAGGGAGCCATCTGCGGCTTCCGGGTAGTTTACAGGAAGGGGTGGTGGAGCAGAGGAAGGCAGCGGTGTGTGACCTCGGAGGAAGGTCCGGCAGCACGGCCTATGGGGTGGGTACGGTGATCTACGGAAGCCAGAGGGAGGCTGCGGGCTGAGGAGAGCGGCTAGAGAGTTCCCGGGGATTGGGGCAGGCAGTGCCGGGCACGGGCGGGCAGGGTAAGGTGAGGGGCCACGTAGGAGGAAGGGAGCTAGAGCCCCTGGGCCCGGTGACAGCCCTGGGAGCGGGTTGCCGGGCGAGTAGTCTCGTTTTCGGTTTCTTACCCAGGAGGAGGAGAAGGATGGCCGGCAGCATCGTGAGCCGTCCGGAGGTGCAAGAAGAGTCCCGGAGCTTCGGCGGTCTACCCAGTGGGGAGGCGGCGCCGCTCCGGGCGTCCTGGCCTCCCAGTGCCGCCTCCCCGAGGGGCCTCCATGGCCCGGGCTCCTCGACCGGTGCTCTGGAGGCCAGGGCTGGGGGCGGGTGGGGGGCGGAGGCGGCCCGAGCGCAGGGGCGGTGCCTCTCGCCAACTTCGGAGTTGTTTTCCCCGGCCGCCGCCTCGCTCTCTCCCGAGGCCGGCCCCCGAAGCCCCGGAAATCGGCTGGAAGAACGGCGCTGGGGCGCGCCCTCGCCTAGAGCCGGCCCGCAGGCCGCGAGCGCCCCGGTCCAGGCCTGGCCGCCACCTGCTGGGGCTTGAGGCCACTTCCTCTTCGGGCCAAACTTTACCGACTGTCAGCCCCCAGGGCCGGCCCGGGCGCTGCTCAACTTCTCCAGCGCGTCCAGCCCGCGGAACGCAGCAGGGGAGCGGGGGAGGGGGACAGGCGGCTCGGCACAACGCCCAGTCCCTCGCCCAGACTGTACCCCCGCCAGCCCAGGGGTTGGAGGAGCCCGGGCGGAGGAGGGGGCGGGTGACGAGCCTGGCCCCACCCCTGCCAATCAACGCAGTCTCCGCCCACCCGCCCGTCTTAACGCCTTTCCGGTCGTGCAGGGTCTTGTCACTCGGGCTTTGAAGGCGCTCAGCTTACACTTTTAGCTCTGCTTTGTTTAGTCCTTTCGGTGTAACGTTAGTTACAGGACACGTCTGTCAAAGGGCAACTGCTTATTCCTTAACTGTCATGTCTTTCCTTTGAATCCTTAAGCTCTCAGTACTTTTCTTGTCCCAGTGTCTGGGATGCGGTAGCACTTTTCTTGATGAGCCTCTATTATAGCAATTACCACACGGTGTTGTAACTATTTGTTTACTCTTTCCAGCCCCTGCCCCTCCCCTGCTGTGGAAACTGAAACTTCCTGTAGGCTGGGGCCTAGGCTGTTTACCTTTGTACCCACAAGGCTTCTCTCCTGCTGAGACACAGTAATTCAATAAAGGAATAAATGTGCCTTCCCTTCTTGCTGGCTATGTGACGTTGAGAAAATTGTTTAACCTCTCTGTGCTTCTCAATTGTAAAATGGGGTTAATAATGTACAATTCCCTCTTAAGGTTATTGTCAACATTTAGGGAGATAATACAAGTTGAGCATCTAGGGAGTGTTTCGTACCTGCTAGCAATTATTATTATTAGTCACAAGAGATATTTCTAATTTATGTGGGCTTGGGTTGCAGATTTCTTGTGGCACTTATAGGTTATAATAGTAAACAATAACAGTAGCAAATAGTTTTTGAGCTTGTTTTCACATTTCAGGCACAGATCTAAGCACTTTTCAAGTATTTTCTCTTTCAATCCTCTCCACAATCTTATGAGGTGGTTATTATTGTTACTCCCATGTTACAGATAAGGAAACTCTGGTACAGAGGGGTTTAGTATTGCCCAAGATCATGGATCTGGTAAATGCTGAAACAAGGGTTTGAACCTAGGCGATCTGGCTTTGGACAGAGTGTACATTCAGAACCTTACTACTCTCTCCTCTTTACAAATGGTACAAACAGTTTTCTGTTCATGACATTTGTTGTTGACATCAGTTTTGATGTGTTCAAAACTGAGACCTCAGCAGGGCCTGAAGCCATAGACTTGGCCATAGTAAGTCCTTCTGCCACTTGGATCTTGGTCCCATGCCAAGGGAACTTGGTTCCTTGGTCTCTCTCTGTTCCCTACTATAGCCCTTGGGATTAATGAGTGGTGAAATAGATCCCTAAATGTGGGAGGAGGATATTGAATAAAGGGAAGCAGGGCAGAGAGGTTGGGGAAATTAAAAATACTTAAGTCCTGAAAGCGATCATGGAAGTTTTAGTTGAGTGCAGGCTGTGTTCTCTATGCTGGGTACTTAGCAGATGCCTGGAACTTGTAAGATTTCACTTTAACTTCAAGGAGCTTACAGAATAGTTGGGAAGAGAGGTCAGATATATAAATTTAAGAAGTCAGCCATGGGGAGTACTTGGGAGTGGGCTTGTGGGGAGTTTAGAAATGAATTTAGAAATAAAACAGGAAAAGTGGTGGTGAGATGGGAAGAGTTGTAAGGGTCAGGAGGAGGAGGAAGAGCCCATGGTCTGGAATACTGAATAAACTAAGATTTGAAAAAAAAAAAAAATCAAGATCTAGGTTGGGGACTTCCCTGGTGGCGCAGTGGTTAAGAATCCATCTCCCAATGCGGGGGACATGGGTTTGAGCCCTGGTCCGGGAAGATCCCACATGCCGCGGAGCAACTAAGCCCATGTGCCACAACTACTGAGCCCACGTGCCACAACTACCGAAGCCCACGAGCCTGGAGCCCGTGCTCTGCAACAAGAGAAGCCACCGCAATGAGAAGTCCGTGCACCGCAACGAAGAGTAGCTCCCACTCACCTCAACTAGAGAAAGCCCGCTCACAGCAATGAAGACCCAATGCAGGCAAAAAACAGTGAATTTGAGCCAAAAGAAAATAGGAAGAAGTGAAAGAGAACCTATAATTAGTTTAAGCTTTAATTCGTTTAGTGATTTTAAATGTCCAAGCCCATATATATCACACTGTAGACCAAGTACATTTAGAAATGGGTCTGTGGAGATGTTCTTGGAACTCTGAGAAATTGTGAAAAATAGTGGAAGTACTGGAAAATGGGCAGATATTTGGTTTTCAAAATGCCAGTATTTTTTTAAAAATATTTATTTATTTATATTTATTTATTTTTGGCTGTGTTGGGTCTCTGTTGCGGCGAGCTGGGGCTACTCTTCGTTGCAGTGCACAGGCTTCTCATTGTGGTGGCTTCTCTTGTGAAGCACGGGCTCTAGGTTCACGGGCTTCAGCATTTGTGGCACGTGGGCTCAGTAGTTGTGGCTCACGGGCTTTAGAATGCAGGCTCAGTAGTTGTGGCTCACAGGCTTAGTTGCTCTGCGGCGTGTGGGATCTTCCCGGACCGAGGCTCGAACCCATGTCCCCTGCATTGGCAGGCGGATTCTTAACCACTGCGCCACCAGGGAAGTCCCACCAGTATCTAACTTTGATAGAGTACTCACCATATGTTTGGCACTCTTCTCAGCACTGCACATATATCATCTCGTTTAATCCTCACCACATCTCCAGGAAGTAGGTGTCATTTTTGTCCTCATTTTATAATTGAGGAAACTGAGTCACAGATAGGTTAGATAACTTGCTCAAGATCAAACTACTAGCGTGTGCAGCAGCCAAGGTGCTCTGGTCTGAATGTTTGTGTCCCTCCCGCCACCCCCAATTCATCTCTTGATTTCCTACCTCCAAAGATGACAGTATTAGGAAGTGGGCCTTTGAGAGATGCTTCGGTCATGAGGTGGAGCCCTCAGAATGGGACTAGAAAAAAAGGCTCTAGAGAGATCCCTAGCCCTTTCCACCATGTGAGGACATAGAAAACACTGGCTGTGAACCAGGAAGAGGGCCCTCGCCAGAAGGTGACTATGCTGGCTCCTTGATCTTGGGCTTCCCAGGCTCCAGAACTGTGAGCAATAAATTTCCCTTGTTTATAAGCTACCCAATTGGTTTTTGTTATAGTGGCCTGAATGGACTAAGATGGAAGCTTGGTACTGAGAAGTTGGGGTGCTGTTGTTACAAATACATAAGAATGTGAAAGCAGCTTTAGAAGCGGGTGATGGGCAGAGGCTGGAAGACTGGAGGTGCATGCTAGAGAAAGCCTACATTGCTGTGAATGGACTGTTAAGGGTGGTTCTTATGAGGGCTCAGAAGAAGAGAGCTGCAGAGAGAGACTCATCTCTCAGAGAATACCTAAGTGAACAGATGTTGGTGGAAATATGGATGGTAAAGGTTATTCTGATGAGGTTTCAGAAGGAGATGAGGAAGACATTGTTGGAAACTGGAGGAAAGGCGATCTTTGTTATCAAGGGGCAAAGAACTTGGTTGAATTGTGTTCATGTCCTAGTGTTCCGTGGAAGGTAGAACTTGTGAGGAATGAAATTGAATGTTTGGCTGAAGAAATTTCTAAGCAAAGTGTTGAGGAAGCAGCCTGGTTTCTCTCGGATGCTTGTAGTAAAAGATAAAAATGATTTGAAGGTGGAATTGTTCATCAAAAAGGACACAGAACTTAAAAATTTGGAAAATTCTTATCACTATCTAACATGCTATATTTTACTCACTTATCATGTGTATTCCCTGCACCACACACAAGAATATAAGTTCCATAGGGGCAAGGATCTATTCTTTTACTGGTGAGTCCCCAGTGCCAAAGGCAATGTCTGGCATAAAGTAGACAATAAATAACTATTTGTTGAATGAATGAATGAATGAATCAGTGACTGCCGATCATAGGCATCACGTGGCATCACGTGGATTCTGTCTTTTAATTCACTCAACTACCCTTTGAATTATTAGCCCTTTTTTTTTTATTAGCCCATTTTAAAGATGAGGAAATTGAAGCTCTGGGAGGATACACAGCTTGCTGAAGGTCACCCTACCAATAAGTCATAAAGGCTGGATCCAAACCCAGATTGTGTAACTCCAGAGTCCTTGTCCTACCCACTGTGTGGTACTGCTTCTCTGCGAAGCTACATTTTAAAAGACTGACAAAATGATTTAATCCAGAGGAGGGTGATAGGAATACTGAGGGGTCTCTAAGCTGCTCCGTATGAAAGCTGTTTATGGAACAAGAAAGGCTTTTCACCTAAAAAAAAGCTTAACTGTAGTGAGCGTTTGTCTGTATGAAAACTAGATCCAAATATCTGAAGAGCTGTAGCATAGAACAAGAATTTGTTTATTCTGTACAGCCTGAAGGGCAGAAACTGGAATTAACGGAACAAATAAAGATAGTCCCTGCTCAGGGTAGAGGAGCTGAAGACACAGGGTTGATGCAGAGGGGTACCAGTCCTGGGCTTTCAGGGCTCCTTGAAAACCCTGTGACTTGTGGATTGTAGGATGGCAGAAAGTCCGGGAAGACAAGAGCAAAGGAGCTTCTCAAAGCAAGCTGTGTTAGATGCTAATACAAGGCCAAAGAAAGTGAAAGCAGAGAGGAGGCCTGGGGTAGGAAGAAAGGGGTCACGAGAGCCTTTTAGGGAGAAGTTTCAGTAAATGCCTGGTTGGGATGCAGACATAGAGGTTGGGTTAAAAAGAGATGACTGGGGAAGGAATACAGACAGCTTTTGGAAAACCTTGGCTTGAGAGAAAAGGGGAAGATGAGAAAAATCTTCCAAGACTGCAGCAGAATCCAGGAGAGCTTTTCAAGATGGGGAAAGGGAATGTGTTTGAAGGGAATGGGGATTGAAGACTCTACCATATGTTGACGGGAGTAAGTTTCCTTGTACTTTGGAAAGAATGAGATGCCGGGTCAGGGACACCCCTTGGAGGTTTGAGAACCACCTCAATCATGTCCATTTGGGGGGCCTCTGGCGTATTAAAAAATTAAATACTAAGACTGTTTTGAAAATATTTGGTGTATTTTATTTATTTCAAAAAATATTTATATGTTTATTTTGGCTGCACCAGGTCTTAGCTGTGGT